AGGGGCTGGGGACTAGCCTCCCAGGCCAGGAGCTCTGGGGCTGGGCAGGAGGGTCCCACGGGCTGGATGTGGCCCGCGGGCCATAGTTTGTCTGCCTCTGGTCTAGAATATCCTTGAATATGTTGTTAATGAAGTGCTGAAATGTAGCTGGGGCATTAGGGAGGCCAAATGGCATGACTGAATATTCAAAGTGTCCATGGCATGTTTGGAAGGTTGTCTTCCACTTGTCCCTTGCTTGGATGTGTACTAAATTGTAGGCCCTTCAAAAATTCTGTTTGGTGAACACCTGAGCAGATCAGACGTGGTCCAACAGTTCCAGGATTAGTGGCAGAGGTTATCAGTCCCAAACCATCACTTGGTTTAGCGCTTGGTAGTCTAAACAGAGACTCATAGACCTTAAGGTCAGAAGAGATGATCATGATTATGTAGTCTGACCTCCTGTACTTTGCAGGCCAAAGAACCTCACCTACCCACTGCTGTAATAAACCCCTAACCTCTGGATGAGTTACCAAAGTCCTCAAATCATAGTTTAAAGACTACAAGTTACAGAGAATCCACCATTTACACTAGTTTAAACCTGCAAGTGACCCGTGCCCCATTTTGTGGAGGAAAGTGAAAAACCCTCAGGCTCTCTGCCAATCTGACCCAGGGAAAAATCCTTCCTGATCCCAAATATGGCAATCAGTTAGACCTTAAGCATGTGGGCAAGACCTATGAGCCAGATACCTGGGAAAGGGACCCATCTCTCTTCTTTACAGAAAGAACAGGAGCTCTGGCAGGAGATGTTGAGTGACAGTTGAATCCCTTAACAAGGTTCTCCTGGATATACCAACAGAGGACTATGAGTTCCAGCTCTGACATCGCAGAGATCCAGCCATATGGAACTTTGGCTCTGGGCTGCAAGTCTATAGGACAGTTACAGTCTCAATATGGGGGCTGTGCATCTGCATTTCTTTTTTCAAAGATGTTGGCATAGTCTTGATATTTTTTGGGAACATGGAGGGTCATCTCTGAGGAGCATATACTCTGGCTGATGGCTGAGGCATGGGGTCCAGACAATGCTTGGGTTGCTGTTGTCTGGCAGTGAGACCCAGGATCCAGGGATTTGTGGTCCACAGTGCACAGACAGACCTGCCTGCAGTACGTGGAAGAGAAGATAACCTTTTGGTCTCACCAACGGATGCGTGGATTGTGATGTGCCAGCCAGGTTATGCCAAAGATCAAAGGGAAATGAGGGGAATGAATTATACTGAACTGCAATACTTCTTGGTTCCTCTGTATCACACACAGCCTCTAGTCACAGTGACATGGTCTCCTGAGTCACTGGTCCTGAGGACAGGAGGGTCCCATCTATTGTCACCGCAAAACCAGGTGTGGTTTCTGTTGGGACAAGAATTCGCAGAGCCCAGGCCATCTCTGCATTCATGAAGCTGGCAGGAGCACCGAAGTCAATGATGGCCCACTGTGGGAGAATTCTCTGGGCCTTGTCTGGGATGTACAGCTGAACTGGCAGCTAGTGGTGTGGTGAGAGTCTTAGTAACCTGGGACAGGTCCCAGACAGGGTTTGGGGGGCATTCCAAGGGGTAGCTCTGAGGTTTTGCCTAGGTCTAGCCCGCCTACGGGGCCTGGGCTCATTTGTTCCTGACCCCTGCTGAGTAAGGGTTCTTAAGGGACTTGAAGCAAGTGTGCGGCGCACCTTACCATAGTAACAGAATAGATTGTTGAGAACGGTTCCGATGTGACAGTCAGCCACCTTTGGGTCAGGTCCACTTGCGTAGCCTCAGGATTCTGGTCTGGAGGTGTTGGAGTGGGACCGCTCTTCTCTCTTCACTCATGCAGACAGTTATCAATGTGAAGAATCAAGTCCATGAATGCAGTTAAGTCCGTGGCAGCCTTCACCTGAGCCAACACGTGTTTGATCTCTTCGCTCAGCCCTGCCCTGAACTGGCACAGCTGGGCTGCCTCATACAACTCTGTACATTCAGTAAGCTGAGGGAATCAAATGGCATATGTGGCGGCCGGCTCTGACCCTTGCTGGAGTTTCTGAATGGCAGCTGCAGCCGAGTGGGTGAGATGGAGCTTGTTAAGGATGGTAGAGAAGGCTCTTAGGAAGACAATTGCTTTGCTGCCCTGCTCCAGAAAGGGAGAGGCCCAGTCTAAGGCCTATCCCAACAGCAGTCTTATCACCATTCCCACCTTGGCCTGTTCAGCGGGGAAGGCCTGAGGGCAAAAGATGAAGAGGAAGCGGCACTGGTTCATGACACCTCTGAACTTCCGCTGGTCCCTGTCGAACCGTTCAGGCAAAGGCATGGTGGGGCCTTGTTCCGGGAACAGGCTCGTGCCCCAAGTTTGGAATGAAGCATTTCCCTCCTGCACATAGGTTACCTGGTCACGCCAGATTTGATTTTCTGACAACATCTGCGTCACTCGAGCACGTGGAGCCTGATTTTCTGCCTATATTTCAACAATCCACTCCGGCATATCCAGAGGCCCTTCGGCTCATCTGGGCACCGAAACGCCTTCTTCCCTCACCAGGGCATTGCATGGGCTGCGTTTAGATGGTCTGTGCAAGCTGTCAGAGCCAGGTCATGGGCCGCTGGCCTCACAGCGAGAGCCAGAGTCAGACATCAGGAATCAGAGTTGTGGGTCTCTGTGGGATCAGGAACAGAATCTGGAGTTGAGGCCAAGTCAGGAGTCAAGAGTCAGGGCCAGGAGGTAAAGGCGAGGTCACTAACCAGAAGTCAGAAGCAGGACACAAAGCCGAATCAGAAACTAGGTATCAGAGCCAGGAGGGAAAAGCCAGGGTCAGGAACCAGAGTGAGGAAGCTAGGTCTGTAGCAGCAACTAGCTGGGGATCCACCTAGTTGCACAGACAAACTTCCTGTACCCTCCCCAGGCTTAAATAGTATGTCCAGGCCAATCAGCAACCAGGAATGTCATGTTAGTCAGCCCCTTGCCAAGTGCGTCCACTGCCACAGCTGTTAGGTGCTGGCGTGGAGATGGCTGCTGCCAAGGACTCTGCAATCCCATTTTCTTGACCTGCTGCTCCTTACAAGGGGTGAGGAGGAGACTTTTCCTAGGGGCAGGTTATCCCACCTTTTACCTTCCTCTCAAGCAGCCGCTTCTAGCCCTGTTGAAGACAGGACCTTGGCCTAGATGGACACTGGTCTGATTCAACCTGCCACACCCCAGATTCCTAGGCAGTCCCTCAAACTGTATCCTGTTTCCCTGGCTTGCCCTTGTCTGTCAAGGTTGTTTGTCAGAAATCACCCAGCCTTCTCCTCCTTTAGCTTTTTCACCTGGGGAATACTTGGGGCATAAGTGCTAGATGCCATTAATGATTCCACCGTATAAGCAAGTTGAGAGGGGGAAAATTGCTAAGTTAATTTTTAGATCTATACCCAGGGGGCTTGAACTCTCAGCCTTTATAGCAAGAGGGCAGCTGTATCCGGGCAAGGCCGCAACACTGAATAGCTCTGGTTGCTAATTAGCTACAGGAATCATGTCTGTTAGCCCACAACTACAACAGACAGAGCACTATGAGTACAGAATCATTCAAACATTGGTGGGGAGGAGGATAGCTCAGTGGTATGAGCATTGGCCTGCTAAACCCAGAGTTGTGAGTTCAATCCTTAAGGGGGCCATTTAGGGATCTGGGGCAAAAACTGGGGACTGGTCCTGCTTTGAGCAGTGGGTTGGACTAGATGACCTCCTGAGGTCCCTTCCAACCCTGATAGTCTATGATTCTATGAAACATTGTCCATAAAGATTGCAGAATTCAGGTCACACCTGTTCCCCTAGAGGCCATTTTGCAGAGGGGCTTCACTTCTTCAGCTAGAACTGAGAAGAAAAACATGAATTTCTTTCATCTCTGACGTGATGTGAGTGACTGACGCTTGGCAGTGTCAGGGTAACATCAGCTGGGTTTGCAGGAGGTGGCAACAGGAGCTACTCACATGACACTGAAGAAGAAACAAATGTTCCAGATTCCACTTCTGTAGACTGGCCCGTCTAAGCTGGGCAGTGCTATTTGGGGATTTATTGTTGTTCAAATAGCATTTAAGTGAAATGTGTCCCTGTCTACCCTACCTGCACCTCCTGCCATCATGGAGACAAGTGAGAAACGCTGCCAGATCAGAACGCTGCAGTTCACCTGCACTTCACACTGGGGTGAATGACAGCTCCAAGGGCAGGTCAGTGGAGAATGGGGCCCTTTGTAGCAAATGCATCTTGGACTTTGTATAGAGAGGAAGGGCTGATCATACCTAGGGTCTTGGAGGAGCATGGACTGGAGCAGTTAGCCCAGGGCATTGTTTGCACCGCCGTGGCCATGCTGCTATTTGCAGCATGCTAACTCAGTCAAAGCTAGCATGTGTATGTCTCCCCAAGGTGGAGATTATCCCCCCAGCTCCAGTGTAGATGGTCCCTGAGCCTGCAGCAGATGGGAGCAACCAGGGCGTCGGAACAGAGCGGGGGCAGGAGGCCATGGCCCCACCACTTTTAAAACCTTTTTTTACCGGCCGTAAGGGGGCAGAGAGGAGTGAGCAGGGAGGAAGGGGCAGTGCAGGGGTGGGGCCACAGTTCGGGCAACAGTAGCCCCCCACACTTTTAGGAAGCTTCCCCTGCTACTGGGAGCAACCTATGACTGCAACCAAGCCACTGACACCTGGAATCAGCAGCCTGCAGACTCAATGTCCCCACTCTGTATCTGTGTGTTGGTGGGTCAAATGGGGGGGCAGATTCCACTTTGCCTGTAAGCACTCCTGTTTCCTCCCATGAGTAAGGGTCTCCTCCACCGCCCACATTCTCCCCACGCTCCCACTGGCTCAAATCCACTTGCTGTAGCCCCTGCTCTAGTTGGCTTCTGTCACTTCATGGCAAACCCCTGGACCCCAGTGGCTGTGAGCAATTGGGACCTAGATCTGGCCTGGCAGCAGGCAAGGGGCTCAGCTACCTCCTGCCTCCCGCAGTGCACGGAGCTGTTGGGGCCACAGCCCTACCTGAAGCAGGAGAAGATGCTGATGGCCAGGAGCAGAGCAGCCAGGGAGGCGGAGTAGCCGCAGGTATAAAGCACCTTCACAGTGGCAAAGTAGGCCCCCTGGAAGAGAAAGGCACAGCTGAGTCAGCAGGTCAGCTAGAGCATGGCCGCGCAACTGGGAGCACCCGACCCTCTGGACCCTCAGTGGGGTGGAAATGTGGGGTGGGGGAGGACATGCTGCTGACAGACTTTGGGTCCTGTGGTGTTCATGCCACCATCCATGAGGGCCCCAAGGGACCGACCCGCCCCCTAGACACCTCGGCATACTGCCCACCAGCCCTAGGGGACCAGGCCTGCCCCCTAGAGCCCACAGAAACCGCCCACCAGCCCCAGGGGACCCAGCCTGCTCCTTAGAGCCCCCGACAACCTGCCCACCAGCCCCAGGGGACCCGGCCTGCCCCAGAGAGACCCCGGCTAACCACCCACCGGACCCAGGGGACCCAGCCTACTCCCTAGAGCCCCCGACAACCTGCCCACCAGCCCCAGGGGACCCGGCCTGCCCCAGAGAGACCCCGGCTAACCACCCACCGGACCCAGGGGACCCAGCCTACTCCCTAGAGCCCCCGACAACCTGCCCACCAGCCCCAGGGGACCCGGCCTGCCCCAGAGAGACCCCGGCTAGCCACCCACCGGCCCCAGGGGACCCAGCCTACTCCCTAGAGCCCCCGACAACCTGCCCACCAGCCCCAGGGGACCCGGCCTGCCCCAGAGAGACCCCGGCTAGCCACCCACCGGCCCCAGGGGACCCAGCCTACTCCCTAGAGCCCCCGACAACCTGCCCACCAGCCCCAGGGGACCCGGCCTGCCCCAGAGAGACCCCGGCTAGCCACCCACCGGCCCCAGGGGACCCAGCCTACTCCCTAGAGCCCCTGACAACCTGCCCACCAGCCCCAGGGACCCGCCTGCCACAGAGAGACCCCCTAGCCACCCACCGCCCCAGGGGACCCAGCCTGCTCCTTAGGCCCCCGACAACCTGCCCACCAGCCCCAGGGACCCGCCTCCCCAGAGAACCCCCTAGCCACCCACCGGCCCCAGGGCCCAGCCTGCTCCTTAGAGCCCCTGACAACCTGCCCACCGCCCCAGGGACCCCTCCACAGAGAGACCCCCTAGCCACCCACCCCCCAGGGACCCAGCCTCCTTAGAGCCCCCGACAACCTCCCACCAGCCCCAGGGGACCCCCTGCCCCAGAGAACCCCCAGCCACCCACCCCCCAGGGGACCCAGCCTACTCCCTAGAGCCCCCGACAACCTGCCCACCAGCCCCAGGGGACCCGGCCTGCCCCAGAGAGACCCCGGCTAGCCACCCACCGGCCCCAGGGGACCCAGCCTACTCCCTAGAGCCCCCGACAACCTGCCCACCAGCCCCAGGGGACCCAGCCTGCCCCAGTTAGTGGAGTTCAGTTTGGTTCTGATGTGGGCCCTCATCAGTGTTTAATTAAATCTAGGCTGGTTCATTTTTAAACAACTCTTCCATTAAGTGGCAAACCCCAGAGTCCCCTGCGCAGCCTTGCAATGGGGATACCAGCCCCCCTCCCACTCTCAAGCAGTGTCTTGCAATGGGGATACCAGCCCCCGTTCCACTCCCCAGCAGAGCCTTGCAATGGGGATACCAGCCCCCCTCCCACTCCCCAGCAGAGCCTTGCAATGGGGATACCAGCCCCCGCCCCACTCCCCAGCAGAGCCTTGCAATGGGGAGACCAGCCCCTGCCCCATTCCCTGGCACAGTCTTGCTGCACTTGCCTTGGCTTCTGTGTCCTTATTGCTGCCATCCAGCTCACAGGCGTAGTACGGAGGGCTGGGGCTGCTCCAGCCAGACTCTGTGCAGTTCTTGCGTATCAACACTGCATTGACAAAGTGAAGCTCTTACAAGGACCTCAACCCCCAACCTCCTTGCCAGCACCCCAGATCCTGCCCCAGCCCCCAACCCTCTGCCCCAGCTCCCAGGCTGCACTGTAGTGTTTCTGTTCTAAGGGGCTCCAATGTCAGTTTCTGGTTCTCAGCCATGCCCTGAGGCTTGAAGCTGGGGGCCCCATCCTGGATGCCTGGCGCTGACAACCCTGCTGTAACTGGAGAAGAGGGATGTGGAGGGGACTCGACGCCACTCATGCCAGGTCCCAGACCACTCAGCACTGGCCTAACCCTGCTCCAGCTGGTGGCACTGGGAGCAGTAAAGCCAGTGCCGAGAGCTTTTGGGAATCCCACCCAGCACAAAGAACTAGATTGGAGGTCATCACACAGCCCTCCGTGTACTGTCTATGGATTAGCCCCAACATACATCATATCACATATATACATCCCAAAGATCATGTCATCACAGCCTCAGTTGCTGGTAAGATTCTCAGCAAGTCTCCGTCTCAGGTGACCTGTCCCAGGCCTACACTATGACCCAAGGCAAATGTTTATCAAAGCCCCAGAGCATTAGTAAATTATACTTATTTGCCCTTGTGGCCGGTCAGTTTTCTTTGTGCTCTGACAATGCTGAAATGAGTGCACTCAGAACCTAGCTTGGCTGCAGTCAAAGCCCAATAAGGGACTCCTGCTTTGCTACCAGGAAAGAACAGCTTCGAAATAATAATAATATCCGGTTCATATCTAGCACTTGTCAGCAGTAGATCTCACAGCACTTTGCCAAGGAGGTCACCATCATTATCCTCATTTTACAGACGGGGAAACTGAGGCACAGAGCAGGGACATGATTCACCTAGCAGCAGAGCCAGGAATAGAACTCAAGCTTGCTGTGTCCCAGGCCAAAATTCCCTCCACTACGCCCCACTGCTGCCTACAGGTAACTATTTTAAGGTGCATGCCCAGGGCACTACTGCCCATCAGTGCAGCTGCCCAGAGCCAGAAAGCCACACTGCACATGTCAGGAGATATGTGCATTGCACCAGGCTGAGAGCATTGCACTGCTCTCTGGTGGCCTTTACATCAGACCTTCCTGCCCCCAACTCACTGTGATGATGGTATTTGGAATGACCTCCTTCTGCCCTGGCCCCTGCCCCTTTAAGGCGGGCTGGAATTTGAGAGGGCTGCCCAGAAAGGTGCGGGGAACTAGGCTGGCACTGCCAGGGCCCAGCGCAACTGGCAGCCTCTCCACTGTCCACTGCAAGTGTCCAGCTACTAACGGCGCACAGCACCCTAGAGTGTTCAGGGCTAGAGTGTGCACGAATTTACTCCAAGGGGTGATTCAATCCCATGACAAAAAGAAAAGGAGTACTTGTGGCACCTTAGAGACTAACCAATTTATTTGAGCATGAGCTTTCGGGAGCGACAGCTCACTTCATCGGATGCATACTGTGGAAACTGCAGAAGACATTATATACACACAGAGACCGTGAAACAATACCTCCTCCCACCCCACTGTCCTGCTGGTAATAGCTTATCTAAAGTGATCATCAAGTTGGGCCATTTCCAGCACAAATTCAGGTTTTCTCACCCTCCGCCCCCCCCCATACAAACTCACTCTCCTGCTGGTAATAGCTTATCCAAAGTGACCACTCTCTTCACAATGTGTATGATAATCAAGGTGGGCCATTTCCTGCACAAATCCAGGTTCTCTCACCCCCTCACCCCCCTCCAAAAACCACACACACAAACTCACTCTCCTGCTGGTAATAGCTTATCCAAAGTGACCACTCTCCCTACAATGTGTATGATAATCAAGGTGGGCCATTTCCTGCACAAATCCAGGTTCTCTCACCCCCTCACCCCCCTCCAAAAACCACACACACAAACTCACTCTCCTGCTGGTAATAGCTTATCCAAGGTGACCACTCTCCCTACAATGTGCATGATAATCAAGGTGGGCCATTTCCAGCACAAATCCAGGCTTTCTCACACCCCCCCCCCCCCAGAAACACACACACACACACAAACTCACTCTCCTGCTGGCAATAGCTCATCCAAACTGACCACTCTCTAAGTTTAAATCCAAGTTTAACCAGAACGTCTGGTGGGGGGGGGGTGAGAAAACCTGGATTTGTTGCTGGAAATGATCCACCTTGATTATCATACACATTGTGAAGAGAGTTGTCACTTTGGATGAGCTATTACCAGCAGGAGAGTGAGTTTGTGTGGGGGGGGCGGAGGGTGAGAAAACCTGGATTTGTGCTGGAAATGGCCCAACTTGATGATCACTTTAGATAAGCTATTACCAGCAGGACAGTGGGGTGGGAGGAGGTATTGTTTCATGGTCTCTGTGTGTATATAATGTCTTCTGCAGTTTCCACGGTATGCATCCGATGAAGTGAGCTGTAGCTCACGAAAGCTCATGCTCAAATGAATTGGTTAGTCTCTAAGGTGCCACAAGTACTCCTTTTCTTTTTGCGAAGACAGACTAACACAGCTGTTTCTCTGAATCCCATGACAGCCTCTGCTGACCCTGTTATAAGCCTGGTGCCCTCTCTCTCTCTCTGACTCTGTCCAGAAGGGTCACTTCACCTGCAGGCAGACAGAGGGACTACCCATGGGAGAAGCCCTCTCCTTCTCTAGGGCAGCCCCTGTGAGTGGGCTGCTGGGTGGCTAGACAACCCCTTTCCAGGTATCAGCATTGGGAAAGGCCTGGCTAGTTAGGGGGCTGGCAGGATTAGAGATCCCACTTCTTCTTCCAGCCCAGGAAAAGAGGGGTGCTGGAGAAAAAGACAGGGGTGCATGTGCAGCTGCAGAGGCTCAGGGCTGGGGGACTGGTGCCAGAAGCAGCCTGTGGGCCTGCTCTACATGGCACCGCAAGCCAGAATCTGCCAGAGCCTAAAGGGGAGGAGGCACCTGACTGTTGGATGGGTGACAGATGCTGAAGGGGCACTCAGGCTGTGTCTCTGTTGAATAAGGGGTGGGGTGATTCCTGAGACGCTGCCCTCCCCAAGAGCCATAGGAGCAGCCTCCGCTAGAACTGAGCAAATCACTGACTGAAATGTTTCATTCAATCAGAAACTGAAATGGCCAAAGCGAAGCTTTTCGGCTTTTCAAAAATATTCTTCCTTTTTTGTCTATTCACTGAATTCCTCCCGAATTTGGGAAAAGTTTCAGAGTCCCGTGAAATGCATTTTTGTGCAAATTTACTATTTGCTGAAAACGATTCACCCCCCAGCTCTAGTCTCCATTCCCAGCAAGAGGTGGGAGTGAGGAACCAGCTACCCGAGCACAGAGCCCCCAGCGCGGTGGCTTTGAGGGATACCGGCCCCTTTACTAGAGGGCTGTGGGGTCCCAGCACTACACCTTGAGATTTCTTGAATACTTGAAGGATCTCTTGACAGGTCACTGCTTGGGACTGGCCAACTGACACCGCCGGCCAGCAGCTGACGCCATCCCACTCCCTCAGGCAGCCTGGGAGAACCAAGAACAACGTTAGCGTTGGGGGTGGAAATGAGCAAGTCACCAGGTGGCATCTGGAGAGTGTAGCCATCATTTGGTGGGCACCAGGGCAAGTCACCCCCAAAAAAGAAAGGGGTCTCCTCATCAGTTGACACCCCATGGCCTCCCTCATCAGAACTCAGCACCCCCACCTGCAGAGAGGTTACCCAACCACACCTCCCTTCTCCCCAGTCCTGGGTCAACTCACTGCAGTCAGTAAAGGAGAAATTTCACACCAGATCCTCAGTTAGGTGTTAGAAATAAAAACATTACTGCGTCAACATGCTGTCGTTCAAAGTGAAAGCCAAAGGCAGGTGAGGCTGCAGCAGCCTCAGAATCTGGATGGTGCCTGCCCATCTCTGCGAGCGGGGGTGCAGTTGCTCTATAAGAAGAGAGCAGCTGCACTGAAGCAAGCTAGTCTTTAAAGATTTGATCCCCCTGGCTCCTTCCTCATCTGTGCAACCCCCTGTGGGAATTAGGATGCACGCAGCGCAGGGGGTGTGCAGCAGACTGGGTCATTCACCTATGCAATGAGGATTACTAGCTCCATAGGAAGCCAGACAAAATACAGATCCCCTAAAGCCAATGTGAATACATTCTGCTCAAAGGATCAGTCATTTCTTTTCTTGAAGTCTGACAACAGCTGGATCGGCTAAGTCAGGGTCATGCAGCCCTTGGCAATCACCCAATAGCCCACCCAGTGCAATAGACAAGTATTGTTATCCCCCATCATACCAATGGAGGCACTGAGACCCAGCAGTTAAGTGACTGTCCTAACACCACACAACAACTCAGTGGCAGAGCCAGGACTAGAACTGAGGAGTTTGTACCTGCCACTGTTACGTGTATTCTGCTAGACCATAGCTCTGGAGTGGAAAACAGCTTCCTGTTTGCAAAGGGAAGGCAAGTCATACAGTCAAATAGGGTTCCCTCCCAACAGCTAAGCTACAAGATTCCTCCAAGATCACATTCACTTTCCTATAGGTCCTCTGTGTTGGTTGGGTTTGGTCCCATTTGATTGGCACTAAGAATAATTCTGTCCTACTTGTTTGATACCATGGTTCCCACTGACAATGTGTTGTGTCTCATGCTCTTTACACCAGATAAATAATGCGAAGAAATCACAGTGTACAGCTGGGTTCCACATAGCCATATGTACCAGAGCTCTGTGAAAAGCAAAGTCTCTGTCCTGGGAGAAACTCTGATATTTAAACAGTTTTTTGGTCCCAGATCAGGGCAAAAATGAAACAGTAAAACTTTCCATGGAACAAATTGCTCAGAAAAATTTAAATTCATAAATGACAAAAAAATTGTTGTATGCAGTATAGTTGTAGTTGTGTCAGTCCCCAGATATTAGGGAGATACAAGGTGGGTGAGGTCACATCTTTTATTGGACCAACTTCCATTGGTGAGAGGGACAAGCTTTCAGCCACGCAGAGCTCTTCTTGGGGTTTGGGACTGGAAAAGCATTACAGCATCCCAGCATTACAGTTTATGGCTTATTACAACAATCTGTAACCCACTAACCCCCTCTTTTTGTCCTAGGTCTGCAGAGGTGTTAATGGACCACTCTACCTTGAATGGGCCCTTACAATGTCTGCTAACTACTTATGCTAAACAATCTGTTCCACCTTGCATTTAGCTGTAACACTCTGAGTACCTTTCCCAGACTTGAAGAAGGACTCTGTGTGGCTCAAAAGTTTGTCTCTCTCACCAACTGGTTGGTCCAATACAAGATACTACCTCACCCACCTTGTCTGTCTAAAATTTTTTGTTACAAGTCAGTTCAACATTAAACTGCATCTGTTTGATATATTGCAGTTAGTCATATGGTCCCCGCTCCCTGGCCAGACTACATCCCCCATGATGCACCAAAGTTATGGGACTCCCATGATGCACTTCTGTCACTTTATCAGAGGGGAGACTTTGGTGCATCATGGGAGATGTAGTCCAGACAAGAAGCCCAAACTACTACTCCCATGAGGTAGCGTGACAGCTCATGCAGACAGATTAATATCAAACTGGCTCAAAACTAAATGGTTTGATTTAGTTCAACAAATTGAAATGTTTCAATTTGGGCCAACCTAAACCAAAATGGTATATTTGGATTTTGCCAAAGGAAAATCAAAAAAGTTCAGCAAAACTGAAATTTTTCTGAAGAAAATTTTGATTTTGTGAAAACTGTATTTTCCATCAAAAAATCATTTTGATGGAAAATTTATGACCAGGTCTAATCATAACAATAATAATAATACCTAGCACTTATCTAGCACGTTTCATTAGTAGCCCTCAAAGTGCTTCATAAAGGAGGTATCATTATCCTAAGCCAACTCTCGTGTTTACAAACCCTACGCAAACATGGCAGGCCTAGCTACCTAGAGCAGCAGGATGCAACTGGTTTCCGGAGGCTTCTAAAATCCACAGAACACTGTGAGCACCACAAGAGGGCTCACAATCTATTTAAAGTGATATTACCGTATTCCTATACATGTGTGTTGCCCAACCTTATTACACAGGAAAGCCTCATAAATCTAAGCATAACCTTGTGTTATGCATACATGTAGCAAACAGATTCTACATACTTTAATACTTAAAGTCACCTGTATTGATATCTATTTTAAGTTCCGCTTATTTCATCTGTATTTAGATAGACAATACTGTACAGAGAAACAACCTATTTACACACTTGTGTAAACTAAAATGTAAACTTGATGAAAAAATGCTAATGAATCAGCTGTTAGTATATTGTGTTGAAGCAGGCTGTAAGCCTTATGAAATGGTTTGGTAGGCCATGTAGGCCTTGTAAGGTCTCTTGTAAGTTATCATTACAAAGCTTATAATCTACTGAATATATTCATCCTATTTGTATGAATGTATCATTCTTGTATCCGAAACTAGAAATATAAAGACAGGTTTCAGAGGAACAGCCGTGTTAGTCTGTATTCGCAAAAAGAAAAGGAGTACTTGTGGCACCTTAGAGACTAACCAATTTATTTGAGCATGAGCTTTCGTGAACATCTCATATTCTCTGTGTATATATAAAGTCTGCTGCAGTTTCCACGGTATGCATCTGATGAAGTGAGCTGTAGCTCACGAAAGCTCATGCTCAAATAAATTGGTTAGTCTCTAAGGTGCCACAAATACTCCTTTTCTTTTCACCCTCCTAGTGAAAAAGTTTTTCCTAATATCCAACCTAAACCTCCCCCACTGCAACTTGAGACTATTACTCCTTGTCCTGTCCTCTTCTACCACTGAGAATAGTCTAGAACCATCCTCTCTGGAACCACCTCTCAGGTAGTTGAAAGCAGCTATCAAATCCCCCCTCATTCTTCTCTTCTGCAGACTAAACAATCCCAGTTCCCTCAGCCTCTCCTCATAAGTCATGTGTTCCAGACCCCTAATCATTTTTGTTGCCCTTCGCTGGACTCTTTCCAATTTATCCACATCCTTCTTGTAGTGTGGGGCCCAAAACTGGACACAGTACTCCAGATGAGGCCTCACCAACGTCGAATAGAGGGGGACGATCACATCCCTCGATCTGCTCGCTGTGCCCCTACTTATACATCCCAAAATGCCATTGGCCTTCTTGGCAACAAGGGCACACTGCTGACTCATATCCAGCTTCTCGTCCACTGTCACCCCTAGGTCCTTTTCCGCAGAACTGCTGCCTAGCCATTCGGTCCCTAGTCTCTAGCTGTGCATTGGGTTCTTCCGTCCTAAGTGCAGGACCCTGCACTTACCCTTATTGAATCTCATCAGATTTCTTTTGGCCCAATCCTCCAATTTGTCTAGGTCCCTCTGTATCCTATCCCTGCCCTCCAGCGTATCAACCACTCCTCCCAGTTTAGTATCATCCGCAAATTTGCTGAGAGTGCAATCCACACCATCCTCCAGATCATTTATGAAGATATTGAACAAAACCAGCCCCAGGACCGACCCCTGGGGCACTCCACTTGATACCGGCTGCCAACTAGACATGGAGCCATTGATCACTACCCGTTGAGCCCGACAATCTAGCCAACTTTCTACCCACCTTATAGTGCATTCATCCAGCCCGTACTTCTTTAACTTGCTGACAAGAATACTGTGGGAGACCGTGTCAAAAGCTTTGCTAAAGTCAAGATACAATACATCCCCTGCTTTCCCTTCATCCACAGAACCAGTAATCTCATCATAGAAGGCGATTAGATTAGTCAGGCATGACCTTCCCTTGGTGAATCTATGCTGACTGTTCCTGATCACTTTCCTCTCATGTAAGTGCTTCAGGATTGATTCTTTGAGGACCTGCTCCATGATTGTTCCGGGGACTGAAGTGAGGCTGACTGGCCTGTAGTTCCCAGGATCCTCCTTCTTCCCTTTTTTAAAGATTGGCACTACATTAGCCTTTTTCCAGTCATCCGGGACTTCCCCCGTTCGCCACGAGTTTTCAAAGATAATGGCCAATGGCTCTGCAATCACAGCCACCAGTTCCTTCAGCACTCTCGGATGCAACTCGTCCGGCCCCATGGACTTGTGCACGTCCAGCTTTTCTAAATAGTCCCTAACCACCTCTTTCTCCACAGGGGGCTGGCCATCTATTCCCCATGTTGTGATGCCCAGCGCAGCAGTCTGGGAGCTGACCTTGTTCGTGAAGACAGAGGCAAAAAAAGCAAGGAGTACATTAGCTTTTTCCACATCCTCTGTCACTAGGTTGCCTCCCTCATTCATTAAGGGGCCCACACTTTCCCTGGCTTTCTTCTTGTTGCCAACATACCTGAAGAAACTCTTCTTGTTACTCTTAACATCTCTCGCTAGCTGCAGCTCCAGGTGCAATTTGGCCCTCCTAATTTCATTCCTACATGCCCGAGCAATATTTTTATACTCTTCCCTGGTCATATGTCCAACCTTCCACTTCTTGTAAGCTTCTTTTTTATGCTTAAGATCCGCTAGGATTTCACCGTTAAGCCAAGCTGGTCGCCTGCCATATTTACTAT